GTTCAGTGGTTTTATACATTCAGTGATTCAGTGAACTCTTGGATTGTTTTGGTCATGGGATGGGCGCGGCGTCTTATAGATCTTCTTTGTCCATTGTCTTTCTTGCGGAGTGCAGCTTTGTGTGGTGGTGATGGTGGTGGTGTTGTGGTGGTGGTGGTGGTGATGGTGGTGGTGGTGGTGTTGGTGGTGGTGGTGGTGGTGGGGGTGGTGGTGGTGGTGAGGGGGAGAGGATGTTGTGAACTGGGGAGGGAAGGGATGTAGTAGGTGACGACAGTGACGGGAATGAGCAAGTGAGGGAGTGGTTGGGGTGTGGTGGTGGGGGGGAGAGGAGAGAGTGGGTGAGGGAGAGTGAGAGTTGTGTGCACTTGATCGTACACGTTGTGCTCATCTACTCTTGTCTCAGCCACGTGGCTTTGAGTGATTGTCCTCCCTCCCACCACCACCTCTCTTCCCCCCTCTCTCCCCCCCCTCTCTCTCTCTCCCCCTCTCTCCCTCTCTCTCTCTTCCCCCTCGCTCTCACTCCCCCCCCCCTCTCTCTCTCTGTCTGTCTCTAGCTTCTCAGAGAGAGAAAGGTCTCTTGTTGGTCTCCACAGTACAATAGAGACCAACAAGCCAAGGTCAGTCAGCACATTACTGTTGGTCAGAAGGCAGACATGCAATAGTAGAGGGTGTGAGGGAGGCCACCACAACTGTTGTTAGTCTCCACAACTGTTACTGTTACAACCGCTTCCACCACACCTGATTGTGTGTGTATATATAATATTATATATATACTATTTGTGCCTGCAGGGTCGAGCAATAGCTCTTGGACCCCGTTTTTCTACCCGTCGGTTTATCTAAAGTAATGACTCAACTGTCCATTTCCCCGTCATATCTGCTTCTAGAATTATGAACAGTTTGCTTCTACAAACTGTTCCTTCAGTTCATTCCATTTTCCCACTACTTGTATGCAAAATGAGACTTTCCTAACATCTGTGATTCATCAGAGTCTGACGGTAGAGCTTCATGCTGGTCGGCGTTCAATCCCCGAGTGGATTTTTTAATTATGTATTTATATATACAAGAGTTGTCTATGCTGTCTAGCACGCATAGCGTTTCGGGCAGGTCCTTAATCCTAATTTAAAAAGCAATACGACCCGCCAAATCGTTTTAAGAACCAGGTACCTATTCACTGCTGGGTGAACAGAGGCTACAGTTAAGGATTGGCGCCTAGTCAATCCTCCCCGACTAGGATACGAACCCAGACCAAAGCGCTGGCGAAGTGCCGGGCGAGTGGTTTACCACTGCGCCACGTGGACTGCTACTTACTCTCGCGGCAGTGGTGTACCACACCTAAAGGTTCCTCGGATACTATCGTGCCAGAATTTACAGAGCACTTCTGTCTACTTGTTGTAATTGGTGTAGGCTGCAAGTGAGAGCTGGTTGGGGTTGTGTCTGCGATGAGAGGTTGTGTGGTGGAAAGTGTCGGGTTGTGAGGGTGCAGGATGAGCGCCATTGTGGGTCTGGGAGACAATGGGCGGCCGAGAGCCAGCTATGGTCTGAGAGGCTGAAAGAATCTGGGATGCAGAGAGGGTCTGAGAGCTAAAGTGAATCTGAGAAGTAGATATGGTCTGAAAGGCAGAGTGGGGATAGCGGAGGTTGAGTGGTAGAGGGGGGTGGTAGAAAGGGGTGGTAGAAAGGGGTGGTAGAGGGGGGGGGGTAGTAAAGGCGGGTGAAGGGCAGAGGGAAGTATAGGTGTGAAGGGAAGAGGTTGTGAGGGTCAGAGGGTGTGCAGAAAGGAATTACGGACACGGTTGGGCTGTGGGACAAGCAGGGTAAAAAAGATCATTGTAATATAGTGCTTAAAGACGTTTCGAAAGCCTTCGACAAAGTGTGGCACACAGGCCTAAAATATAAGATATCTGATCTAGGACTTTCTGATAAATTTACTGCTACTCTCTGCAGCTTTATAGACAACAGAACTGCTAGGCTTAATATCGGCAGCTACTTGGGTGACGTAATAGAACTGAAAAGTGGAGTACCACAAGGAAGCTGCCTCTCCCCCACTCTATTCAACATATATACAGCTGACCTACCCCAACCCCAACATGGAGAATACATCACATACACTGATGATGTTACCCAAATAATATGCCAACCGGGCCCATCAAAGCCGCTACTAGCCGACAAGACCAAGGCGGCAATTGAACTCAAACAACTTTGAGAAGCAATGGAAAATTAGCTCTAACAAAAGTTTCAGATAATACACATTGCGAAAAGAAACCCGGACCCCATCACCCTTGACAACCATCCGATCCAATATGCGGAGGTAGGCAGAATACTGGGACTCATGATAAATAGAACAGGGATACAAATTCACCGACTAAACAAAGCCAAAGCAGCCTTAGGAAAACCGAGGAGATTCCGAAGCCTCAGTAAAAGTACAAACATTCAGATCCATCTATATAAGGCTCTAGTTCGGCCGCATCTTTAGTATCCTCCAGTACCACTACACGCCATAAAGAAAACTATGCAGAAATTGCAAGCAGTGCAAAATAAGGCGCTAAGGAGAGCTGCAAAACACCGTCCACCATATGATCAGACAATCCAGGAGCTCCATGAGCTCCTGAACATACAACCACTGAACATCCGACTACAGCACCAAGCCATCAGGGTGTGGAACACCATCGAAATGTTAGAGGACCCAATGTTAGAAAGATTGCTCCAAAATGAGACGCCCCGCTCCCACACCTGGTGGCCCAAGATGAGACGCCCCACTCCCACACCTGGTGGCCCAAGAGCCTCGATTCAAGGGCTGCTGGAACTTTTATAAGTAGGTCAGCTAACTCACTACGAGGACGGGAGGAGAGGCATGAACCAAGGTGAAAGAGGAAGGTGGGTGGGGAAGGACAGAAGCCGTCTTACCCCCTGGGGAGGAACAGGGGGAGGAACCAGATTTCCTGTTGTGACAAACACAGGTGTGCTAGTAGTGATGTACTCTACAACAGCCTCCACAGTCTCAGGCAGACACACGGAGGGAGAACACAAAGCCAGGAGAATAGACATGTGTTTGACAGACAGTTATGGGGGAGAGCCTAAAGACAGAGGGGGAGACAGAAGAAAGATGGGGGTTTGAAAAGTGAAGGAGGGGGGAAAAAGTAGGAAGTAGAGAAGGAGCGCTGACCCAGCGGGTAGCAGAAGGGTGGGAAGGAACGTTGGGAATGGCTGTAGGTGCTCCAAAAGGAACACTTGTGACCACAGGTTAGACAGGAGCGGAAGGAGGGCAGCTGGTGAAGGTCTAAGGTGTGGAAGGTGTTGTGGCAGAGAAGGGCGGGCGGGAAGAGTGGTGCGACACACGAGCACATGTTAGAGAAACAGTCAAGACAGTGGACCTGGGGCCGAGGCTCTGGGAGAGACGTGTTATGCTACAAGGGAAGGATGGCCGGGGTACAGCAGCATGAACTACATCAAATCTACACTGATGGGTCATCTAATGCAGGCGATGAGTCACAATAACGTGGCTAAAGCATGATGACCAGACCACACACTAGAATGTGAAGGGACGACGACGTTTCGGTCCGTCCTGGACCATTCTCAAGTCGATCTAACCCTGTTAACGACAGTGGTGGTGTAGCATAAAGTGTAATTATTAATAATGCCTTTCAACGCAGAAATGAAGAAAAAGCGCGTATTGAGAACTATGCCTCTTCAACGCAAGCAGAGCTAATGGCCATTGTTATGACGTTAAGATTCCTTGAACGAAACACTAATGGCACAGTGATCTGCACAGATTCAAAAAACAGCGCTACAAAGCTTAAGTAAAAATCGGGCAGAATCCTGAGTCACTGAAATCAAGAGAGTCGTAAAGGGGTACTAATCAACCAGGGAAGAGTGGTCAAGTTCCTGTGGATCTCCTCCCATGTTGGTGTATGTGGAAATGAACGAGCAGATCTGCTGGCTGCTGAAGGAGACCATATTGAATACTTTATACCCAAGACTTTTACAAATTAGAGGTATTGTCAGGCAACATCACCGTGACAAGGTAACTGAGGAAAGGAGGATAGAAGCACAAACCAGTGAATCTCTACGATGGTACAACATGGTTGCAGCTGGCAATCCCAATCATTATGGCCGAAGAGGAGGTGGCCGCGGGAGAGAATCAGTAATAGTGAGAATCCGTCTTGGTTGCAAATATCCAAGAAGATTCGGAATGGAAACAACAGTTGATCAGCGGAGTTGTAGAATATGTGATTACAGTGACGGACACCGCCTTGACCACTAGCTGAGAGAATGTGAACGCCAAAGACATAAATGTGTCTAGAATAATAAACCCCAAATTGTTTGAGTTAGGAAAACTTTTGTCAAATATTGATACCGTTCTTAAATGATTCCCCCATTTTGCACCCTCAAGATAACGTACGATTGTAAAGGTTGCCAACATGTTAATCTTGTTTGATAAGGTGTTCACTTGAGATGGTTAAGCAAGTCCCAGCTGTGTCTGGGTACAAGTGACAGGATGAACAACCCAGCGGGTTTTCTTCCTATGGGAGGGGGGGGGAGGTGTTGTACATGCTGCTATGGCGGTGTGTCCACTCACAGGATGAGTGACGCTGCCCAATACTGTCACTATGGCGGTGTGTCCACTCACAGGATGAGTGGTGCTGCCCAATACTGTCACTATGGCGGTGTGTTCACTCACAAGATGAGTGGCGCTGCCCAATACTGTCACTATGGCGGTGTGTCCACTCACAAGATGAGTGACGCTGCCCAATACTGTCACTATGGCGGTGTGTCCACTCACAGGATGAGTGACGCTGCCCAATACTGTCACTATGGCGGTGTGTCCACTCACAGGATGAGTGACGCTGCCCAATACTGTCACTATGGCGGTGTGTCCACTCACAGGATGAGTGACGCTGCCCAATAAACTTTTTTTAACAGCAGCGTGTCTACTGTTATAACATCTCCAGCCTAGGAATAATTCAGGGCTAGAGGTAGGGTGGGTAATATAAATAATTAAATATATTGGTTAGATATATATTAACATAATAAACATTTATTAATTAATGACCAATTTACAAGGATGCAATTTTTAATAATTGCCAATATATATTCTGCAAGAAGTAGTGACTACGTTACTGGTCGGTCGTAGAGCTCAGGGATAATACTCCCAAACTGAGATTACATTCAAGTTGGTCACAAAATGTCATCCTCTGCCTCCACTGATCAATTTTGAACAATACGCAAAACTGCACAAAATCTTTTACACACCAAATGTTAATTCAGAAAAATCTAATTCCATTCTTAGTTTAATAAGAGGTGGCGTTTATTCAATGAACATCGAAGTTAGGTCTAAGCATATTTATGCTCAGAAATCAAAGACTTTAATAATCTGAAGAGTTGAACAAGTTAATACTTGAGACAGTTGAACAGGATGATGGGGGGGGGCTACAGTGGATGTTTTATAAAAGGTCAACTTGACCTTGAAAGACATAGTTGAGCCCTTAAAGACTTGTCTCTGGCTCATTATTGTTTTCATTTTAGATTTTTTGGCCGTATATGTTCCCAGTCATACATCGTCCAGTATAGTCCAGGCCACATCTTGTGCCTCGGCTTGTTGTGTTGCTATGTGTTCATCGTCCACTTGTGCCTCGGCTAGTAGTGTTGCTGTGTGTTCATCGGCCACTTGTGTTGCTATGTGTTCATCGTCCACTTGTGCCTCGGCTAGTAGTGTTGCTGTGTGTTCATCGTCCACTTGTGCTTCAGCTAGTAGTGTTGCTGTGTGCATCGTCCACTTGTGCCTCAGCTAATAGTGTTGCTATGTGGTCATCGTCCACTTGTGTTGCTACGTGTTCATCGTCCACTTGTGCCTCGGCTAGTAGTGTTGCTATGTGGTCATCGTCCACTTGTGCCTCGGCTAGTTGTGTTGCCATGTGGTCATCGTCCACTTGTGTTGCTACGTGTTCATCGTCCACTTGTGCCTCAGCTAGTTGTGTTGCCATGTGGTCATCGTCCACTTGTGCCTCAGCTAGTTGTGTTGCCATGTGGTCATCGTCCACTTGTGTTGCTACGTGTTCATCGTCCACTTGTGCCTCAGCTAGTTGTGTTGCTATGTGGTCATCGTCCACTTGTGCCTCAGCTAGTTGTGTTGCTACGTGTTCATCGTCCACTTGTGCCTCAGCTAGTTGTGTTGCCATGTGGTCATCGTCCACTTGTGTTGCTACGTGTTCATCGTCCACTTGTGCCTCAGCTAGTTGTGTTGCCATGTGGTCATCGTCCACTTGTGTTGCTACGTGTTCATCGTCCACTTGTGCCTCTGCTAGTTGTGTTGCTACGTGTTCATCGTCCACTTGTGCCTCTGCTAGTTGTGTTGCCATGTGGTCATCGTCCACTTGTGTTGCTACGTGTTCATCGTCCACTTGTGCCTCTGCTAGTAGTGTTGCTACGTGTTCATCGTCCACTTGTGCCTCAGCTAGTTGTGTTGCCATGTGGTCATCGTCCACTTGTGCCTCTGCGTGTTCATCGTCCACTTGTGCCTCAGCTAGTTGTGTTGCTACGTGTTCATCGTCCACTTGTGCCTCAGCTAGTTGTGTTGCCATGTGGTCATCGTCCACTTGTGTTGCTACGTGTTCATCGTCCACTTGTGCCTCTGCTAGTTGTGTTGCTATGTGGTCATCGTCCACTTGTGCCTCAGCTAGTTGTGTTGCTACGTGTTCATCGTCCACTTGTGCCTCTGCTAGTTGTGTTGCTATGTGGTCATCGTCCACTTGTGCCTCAGCTAGTTGTGTTGCTACGTGTTCATCGTCCACTTGTGCCTCAGCTAGTTGTGTTGCCATGTGGTCATCGTCCACTTGTGTTGCTACGTGTTCATCGTCCACTTGTGCCTCTGCTAGTTGTGTTGCTATGTGGTCATCGTCCACTTGTGCTTCAGCTAGTTGTGTTGCCATGTGGTCATCGTCCACTTGTGTTGCTACGTGTTCATCGTCCACTTGTGCCTCTGCTAGTTGTGTTGCCATGTGGTCATCGTCCACTTGTGCCTCAGCTAGTTGTGTTGCTACGTGTTCATCGTCCACTTGTGCCTCAGCTAGTTGTGTTGCCATGTGGTCATCGTCCACTTGTGTTGCTACGTGTTCATCGTCCACTTGTGCCTCTGCTAGTTGTGTTGCTATGTGGTCATCGTCCACTTGTGCTTCAGCTAGTTGTGTTGCCATGTGGTCATCGTCCACTTGTGTTGCTACGTGTTCATCGTCCACTTGTGCCTCTGCTAGTTGTGTTGCTATGTGGTCATCGTCCACTTGTGCTTCAGCTAGTTGTGTTGCCATGTGGTCATCGTCCACTTGTGTTGCTACGTGTTCATCGTCCACTTGTGCCTCAGCTAGTTGTGTTGCTATGTGGTCATCGTCCACTTGTGCTTCAGCTAGTTGTGTTGCCATGTGGTCATCGTCCACTTGTGTTGCTACGTGTTCATCGTCCACTTGTGCCTCTGCTAGTTGTGTTGCTACGTGTTCATCGTCCACTTGTGCCTCTGCTAGTTGTGTTGCCATGTGGTCATCGTCCACTTGTGTTGCTACGTGTTCATCGTCCACTTGTGCCTCTGCTAGTTGTGTTGCTATGTGGTCATCGTCCACTTGTGCCTCAGCTAGTTGTGTTGCTACGTGTTCATCGTCCACTTGTGCCTCAGCTAGTTGTGTTGCTACGTGTTCATCGTCCACTTGTGCCTCAGCTAGTTGTGTTGCCATGTGGTCATCGTCCACTTGTGTTGCTACGTGTTCATCGTCCACTTGTGCCTCTGCTAGTTGTGTTGCTATGTGGTCATCGTCCACTTGTGCTTCAGCTAGTTGTGTTGCCATGTGGTCATCGTCCACTTGTGTTGCTACGTGTTCATCGTCCACTTGTGCCTCTGCTAGTTGTGTTGCTATGTGGTCATCGTCCACTTGTGCTTCAGCTAGTTGTGTTGCCATGTGGTCATCGTCCACTTGTGTTGCTACGTGTTCATCGTCCACTTGTGCCTCAGCTAGTTGTGTTGCTATGTGGTCATCGTCCACTTGTGCTTCAGCTAGTTGTGTTGCCATGTGGTCATCGTCCACTTGTGTTGCTACGTGTTCATCGTCCACTTGTGCCTCAGCTAGTTGTGTTGCTACGTGTTCATCGTCCACTTGTGCCTCAGCTAGTTGTGTTGCTACGTGTTCATCGTCCACTTGTGCCTCAGCTAGTTGTGTTGCCATGTGGTCATCGTCCACTTGTGCTTCAGCTAGTTGTGTTGCCATGTGGTCATCGTCCACTTGTGTTGCTACGTGTTCATCGTCCACTTGTGCCTCAGCTAGTTGTGTTGCTACGTGTTCATCGTCCACTTGTGCCTCAGCTAGTTGTGTTGCTACGTGTTCATCGTCCACTTGTGCCTCAGCTAGTTGTGTTGCTACGTGTTCATCGTCCACTTGTGCCTCTGCTAGTTGTGTTGCTATGTGGTCATCGTCCACTTGTGCTTCAGCTAGTTGGGCCGCTATGTGGTCCTTTTCCAGTTGTGCCTCGGCCATCTGCGCCCCGTCCAACTGCTCCTCCTGTTTAGATTAAAGAGTCCCAGATCAACTTAAGCTTTCTCAGAGATATCCGTGCAGGTATTTGATGTCTATCATGGCCAGAACACGCTTAGCATGCACCATCATGGTCACCTGGGTGGCCGGGGGTACGAAACTGTACAGAGTAAGTCTTAGCAAGGCTCCAATGAGCACCTCTACCCACATAGAAATGAAAGTGACGACGTTTGGGTCCGTGTTCGCCCCCCCCCCCCCCGAGGTCACGATGGTTCCATAGCGCAGGTCGAGAGCTGATGTCTCATGCCGAGTTAATGTTAAACAATGCAGTTGTGTACTGGGCAAAATTACTGATGCGATTATCCCTGTGTCTGTACTATCAATTTCTTTTACTATTAGCAAAAAGTTGTCTATAATACGCGTGTTTATTTTTATATACGTATTTCAGATCCTTATTACGGTTGGTAAATTGGCATACGGAAATTAGAGTAATTGGTGTAGAGGTAATTTAAACGGGTTTGAAGAAATTTAAATAAAATGTTATAGATCTGAGCTGAACATGTGACTGATCAGTGTCATTTTGCACCATAAGCTCTTATGTTTAGAGTAGTGAAAGCGATATATTTATCCGATTAGGGAGGCGTTTAATGGGTGGGAAACAAGTCTACATAACCAGTACTGCATTAAGTGCAAACGCTGATCTTTTTTGCCGATGACGTGGCTTTTAAGACGTCAGTTTCAGAATACAATATTCTTACCATATCAAACGTAGTAATATAACTTCTCCAATGGGTTGTAGCCACTGTCGCTTATACGCGACCGACCGTAGGGCGCTGTACAGCTGTTTGACCAACCTGTTAGAGTAAAACAATCATTTGATGGGGCACAAGTACACGGTCACAACAGGAGAGAGGCCAGACTACTCTATCACCCCCCCCCACCCCTCTAGTCTATATAGAACGTGTATGCAATACTTGCAACCTGCCCAAGCCAGCCTAGTCGTGTGTACCACATTTGTGATCAAGTCATTCATGCCCCAAGTGTCCTGTTGCCTTTGGTGGAGAGGAATATATTGACCGACCAGGACGGGTTTAGGCACGAGCTGTGAGGGACACTTTAGTAGTCTATGACAAACATAATCCAGCCATTTAGAGAAATGTAAACTCCCGCTGTATGAAATGGCGAACCATCTTATTATAGAGGATAACATGCAATTGACGATCACAAAACGCTGATAATTTTTATGCGAAAAATCCACAGATAAATGTGATAAGAAGTGAACGTTTCGGCCTGATTAAAGCCGTTGTCAAGACCAAAATAGTTTGGTGTTGACAACGGCTTTAATCAGGCCGAAACATTCACTTCCTATCACATTTCTGTGGATTTTCCGCAGAAGATAACATATCTGGAATCCTTGTACTGTATCCCTATTTCGCTTCCAGTAGATACACTACACAAGAGATTAAGAAACAATTAGAGTATTGTGAAGACTAATAAACATTAGCTCCCCTATAACCCTGTAATATCTCTATAGCTCAAACACTTGTTTTAGCAACAAGACTTGCCATTAATGTATAATTAATAACTAAATACATAGCTATTGAAATGGAACACACTAATTGGCTAACATTTTAATAAGGTGTTAAGGATACATTAACAATTTTTAATGTAATAATCTCCGTTAAGGTCTGATGAAGACCTTTTGTGCCTTGTGTAATCCTTTTTTCCGCTATCGCTCACAGGACGAGTATGGGGTGCACAATAAACTAGCCGCCTCTTGCGGCAACAATCAATTTTTAATGGCTGCCATAGAGCTGTAATTTGCATATCATGGTTTTTGTATTATGTTGCATGCCGTGTTATTTACATAATGAGCTGAAGAATTATTCTTATATACTTGTGAGGGCGAGAGCGACTTTAATATGTCAGGAGGTAGCAGTCGAGTGAGGCGTGCTGCGTGTAGTGCTCGTTAACCAGTCAAGTTCCCGCACCTTAGGTACTTATTCTCGACAATATATAACTTTCAAACACTTATTTAAATATGATAAAGAGCTTGATTATGTTTTACACACTAGTGATTAGTATTTTTATACTTTGGTAAAGAATGTCGGTATACGACGAGCTAGCAACACTGTAGAGGCCGGACGTCAGCGCTGCTCCTCGTGTGGTTATAGCAGAGGTGTGGAACGGTAGACTGTTGTTCAAAATTCGCTACTTGGAACAAACAGTTCCAAGTAGCACGGGCTATGGTGAGCCCGTAGGTACTAACAGTAGACGGTTTGTAGGCATCAGTGGAAACAGACCAGAGCGCTGCTCAATTTCCTCTATTCAAATAGGTTAGCAGCCCATATTTATATTAGTCAGGGAGTGTTCCTCAATTGTTGTTGCAACTTTTATATACATTGGAATAATTTAAGCAAAAAACCTGTTCTCGAAACCTCAAAAAGGGTAGACAAGCGAAATACTTTATCGCGAAATATTGTTCCTGGGTTAAAGAGATACTTGAGGGCAGCGATTATTTACCCGTTTGTCTTAAAGTCAATGCTCGATATTAAGTTCATTGGAAAGGGGGGGGGCTGAGAGGAAAGAGGGGGGAGGAGGGACAGAGGAAGAGAGGGGGGGGGGGGCGAGGTCGCCAGTACAGATGTAGAATGTTTTATGCTACATCCAAAGTATGAATAGCAGACCATTTGTTAAGTTTGAACATACACATATTACCTTAAATTTTTTTTTTTAACTTGCTTTCAAAATATTTAGGCAGCCGTAGCTGGCTGAAATTGCCTCCTCCCCCACGCCAATCACTTCTTTAATAACAGTTACATTATTTGAAAAGCTTCACTTGAAGTTTCGAACCAAAGATAATTTCGAAACGCAGTAACAAGAAAAATACTACAATTTTTAAGTGAATTAATACAAGCATTCCTAAAAATTCTAATTACAAGTGAAATTTACTACAAAAAACAGCGAATTACAAAAGTGACAAATACACAAAAAGGACAAAAGACATGTTACTACTTACAGTGTGGTCAATTAAAGAAGAAATTGACATCGTGTTTAGCAAAATTACGACAACTTATTAGACGAACACAAACCAAAACACAACGACACTGAAAATTTATACAAAAAACAACAAAATAAATTATAATGAGATTTTTAACCAACAAATATCAGTTTAAACTCAAATACTACAATTAATAACTAATGTACACTAGTTTTTATATAATTAATTACTCAAATAAACAATAACACAATATTAATTAAAAAAAGGTAAAAACACACAGAAACTGATTTTGAAAAGACGGGAAACTCAAGAAATTGGCTTAAATCTAAACTGTAAAGTTACGCAGGCGAAGTATTTTTATTGAATAAAGGCCAAAGTTTTCACTAAACAAAGCCGTCGTTATTCTTGGATCAAAGCAGCTATTATTACAAATATCCAAAATTTCGAAACCAGACTCATTGAGAGGACGAGTCCTCTTTTTGAGAATAATCTATAATGACAGAAAACGAGGCTAACGCTGTTGAAGTAATTTATTCAGTTGATTTTTGATAAATTCGTTAAATCATAATATGGTAATTTAATATATCTTTCTTCACTGCGGGGGACGACAAAATTAAACATGAAAAAACTTTTTTAATTTATTTTTTACCATATTGGAAAGCAAATGCATTATTCGAGAGAAATTCCACGAAGAACTTAATAATTTCAAGACCGAAACTCTACCAAGTAGAGCACTCTGCCTAAGCTCTATTTACCAAGTTTTTATTTGAATTCCTCTTAAATGTCTCTGGGACAAATGAATGAAAGTTCAGACCTAAGCCAGTAAATGTTGGTTTTCTGTATACACAAGTATTAACACCATTGTACTCGCCTGTTAACAAAAACTGCTGAGTACAAGTCTTGATCAGTTAAACTGTCAAGACTTGCATATAATGATACACGTAATAAAGCATCTAAATAAACTGAAACTTGATTTTTTTGTTTGAACTTGAGCAAGTTTAAAGTTTCTATATCTTGGATTGATTTTAATTGTTTGAAATGTGAATATGTGAAATGTATTGATGGAAAATTTAAAAGGATTAGAATAGTGTTAATGAGTTGTTATAATTTGGGCAAACCTGTTTTTTGTCCACTGGTCCATTTGGGCTCCTCGGTGCTGGGTGCAGGACGTAGGGTGCAGGGTGTAGGGTGCAGGGTGCAGGACGTAGGGTGCAGGGTGTAGGGTGCAGGGTGCAGGACGTAGGGTGCAGGGTGTAGGGTGCAGGGCGTAGGGTGCAGGGTGTAGGGTGCAGGGTGCAGGACGTAGGGTGCAGGGTGCAGGGTGCAGGGTGTAGGGCAGTGAAGTCATAATCAGCTTAATTTCTGTATATTTCAGACCCTCTTTGTGCCTTGTGATTAGTGGATTGGGCGGCCAGGCTCCTGGAGTGATGGATGAGCTCTGTTTCCCTCCCTGAAATGTATATGTTTATCACTGACAGTGTTGAGTAATATGGCTATTATTTGTGACTATATATATATATACGTCACAAGTGGCGCCATCCTCCATTGTGACAAGGGGGGAGTTTACCCCCCAACCATGGGGTGTGGGGGGGGATGTGTAGCGCCGTCACCCGCCTAGCTTCCTGTTGTCACCCGAACACGTCGGGATCTGTTTGGTGTCACTACATCGACTAAGGTGTCTGACTTTTGTCACAAGGAACATACGCGCCCTGATGATCATAGGCGATTGAGAGGCGGGACCAAAGAGCCGGATCTCAACCTCCCCGCAAGCACAACTACTTGAGTACTCACACCAGGCGTACATTCATAACAGAAGTAAATTAGTTTGAAAATTAAATTAGTAGGAAAAAAGTCAAGGTTTCTCGTCCCTATCAGATGAATACAAACATGCCAATACTAACTTTTTCCTACTGACGGGAAAACTTTTAAATTGTTTCCATTTCATGTTTATTTTCTTTTCATAGCGATGTACAGCCACGTCCAGCTAATATTAGTGACAAACTCAACCACCCTTAGTGTCTGAGTGTTTGAATGTCGTTGTAGCTCCTGGTATAATCTGCACTCTTCACATGTTCTAAAACTTATGATCAAAGTATATTATGAAGAGGAGGATATATCAGTAGTCACTCTGGTGACCACACCCACTTGGGCTGGCCGCTACAGACACGGTTTGGCATCTTGTAGGACTGGCGTTCGATTCCCGATAGTGCTTGGGCACCGTTCCCTCATTCACGTCCTCATATCCCAACTCCTTGTTCTCATGCAGGCGATGAGTCACAATAACGTGGCTGAAGTATGTTGACCAGACCACACACTAGAAATTGAAGGGACGACGACGTTTCGGTCCGTCCTGGACCATTCTCAAGTCGATTGTGATGAGGACAGGTAGGGACAGGCATTAAATAGGCAAGAGAGAGCTGAGGAGGAAAGTAAGGTGTAGGGGATAGTAGTAATAATGAGAACTGCAGCAGGCCTATTGGCCCATACGAGGCAGCTCCTATTATAACCACCGAAGGAGAAAGTAATAGGAATAAGAAGAGGATAGCAAGGGAGCGTAGGAGACAATGAACAGAAAAAGGGAGAAGAGAGAAAGAAAGGGAAAGAGAAAGAAAGAAATGGAAGGGGGAAAGCTTATGTTAAGTCACGTTTGTTAGAAAGATTAGAGCATTTGAGTATATACTGTGAAAGGGAAGAGTCCACAGCAACAAAGCCAGGACTCAAGTTCATGTTGGGTACATTGTTAATAAGAGCCGATTCTACAAGACGGCGTCTGTGTAGAGTAGAGGCAGGAAAGATTATTTTGGAGGAAGACCAATCAATGGGATGATTAGAATCCCTCACATCCCTCCTTGTTCTCATATCCTAGCACCTTGCTCTCATATCCCAACTCTTTATTCTCATAACCTAGCTCCTTGTTCTTATATCCCAGCTCCTTGTTCTCATATCCTAGCTCCTTGTTCTCATATCCCAGCTCCATGTTCTCATATCCCAGGTTCTCCTCATATCCAAGCTCTTAGTGTTGCCTTGGTAGGACACCCGCCCCTCGTTTCGCGAGTGATTTGACCTGGGTTCGTATCCTGGCCGGGGAGGATTGACTGGGCACCAACCCTTAACTGTAGCCTCTGTTCACCCAGCAGTGAATGGGTACCTGGTTGTTAAACGATTTGGCGGGTCGTATTCCAGGGAAAATTAGGATTAAAATTAGGATTAATGACCTGCCCAAAACGCCATGCGTGCTAATGGCTTTACAAGAATGTAAGAACTCTTGGATATATAAATAATACATTTTCTTCTCCGAGGCTATGGGTCCCTACACTTGCACCAGAGGGGGTACCCCTTCTAGGTATTTTTTAAATAATACAACAGCCACAAAATGCTTCATATTCTTACATGCTAGATTCTTGCCCTCACGTCCCCTGCAAGTGCTACACAGCCACACTGGTTTAGCACTCTCCTGATAACTGCCTCCAGCCACAGCTCGATAGTATTGCCCAACAATGGAACCATTAGTCTTCGTGTTTACAAACATTTCCCTGCGTGTGTTGAGCTCGCTTATTGTGTGTGTGTGTCGGTGTGTCGGAGAACACTTGTGCTGTGTGTGTGTTTGGTGTATGCTGGTGTGTGTGTGTGTGTGTGTGTGTGTGTCGGTGTGTCGGAGAACACTTGTGCTGTGTGTGTGTGTTTGGTGTATGCTGTTGTGTGTGTGTGTGTGTGTGTGTGTGTGTGTGTGTGTGTGTGTGCTCATCTAGTTGTGTTTGCGGGGGTTAAGCTTCGGCTCTTTGGTCCTGTCTCAACTATCCATCAACCGCTGTACATATTCCTCAGCCTATTGGGCTCTATTAAATCTATATTTAAAAGTGTGTGTATGGAGTCAGCCTCCACCACATCACTGCCTAATGCATTCCATCTGTTAACTACTCTTGTAACACTGTAAAAGTGTTTGGTTTAGTTTAATACATACATAGAGTACATGAGTCACAGACAAGGATCTGAGAGGCGCCAGTTTGACCACCGGAAAGTCACACGTCTAAGAGTTAATGACCCCAAGTGACCTGAGGTCAGATCATGAGAATTTCACCTTGCTTCCGCTAAGCTTATAATTGTAGTCTGGTAGCCTTCAAACATGCCGACGTTTAAGGAGTGGCTTGGTAGTGCCGGAGGCTATCTACTTGTGGGCGGAGTTAGTACTAGGGTCCCCAATATATACTCGGAGAACATCAAGCATTAACAGACAGAACAGCAGACGAGCCAGGAGAGCAGAGAAGACGTCCCTAGCAGGGAGGCTGTCGGCCGGCAGGGGCGAGACAGTCTCTGTCAAGCTACAGACCCCCCCCCCCTCTCTATTCAACTTAGACTCAGTCCTCGGTGAGTGAACAGTAAGGTGACTTGGTCGTGTTTACATATGTTGTGTGATGATCAGGGGCAGTCAAGTTGTAGGGTTCTCGAATTCTTGGATAATGACTCACTTTGCATATTAAACTGAAACATTTTAATTGAATTGCTAAATTATGATACTTCATGTGAAATATAATTATGAATTTATTATTTAAATTGTGTTTAACTTTGTCCCCTAGAGCTTTGAGTTGAGGTGAGAAAGCCTCTGTGGTTACTGGTTTCATGATATTAATGAATACATGTTTGGAGCTGATACATGGTAATAACATCTTTTGAGAATATTTTGATACAGACAAGTTCCATTCCTTGTCTTGTATGTAATGGTCTAGAATGGATGGTGGCAGCATTTCGTCTTCTACTATCTACTCTTCTACTTCTACCATCTACTCTTCTACTTCTACCTATCTACACCTCTCCCTCCACCCTTTTCTAAACTCTCACTTTCAACTAATGACCCTCCTTGCTCCTCCCACCTCTCTCCCTCTCACCCCAAACCCTCACTAATTACTTCACTATTCATTTCTTTCCTTTCGTTTTCTCTTATACGTTTGTGGCAATGATTATGTATTCTAGAGTTCTCTCTAGAGTTTCGGGTAGCTGATTAAGTGACGGCGCCTTGTAGTCTTAGCACCTAGGTAGTCAAATACCTAGGTTACAAGGTGTTGAACGAGAGAGGTTGCCTTAG